AGTTTCAGCTTCATTTCCCGAACATTTATCCATAAAGATAGATGGATAAACAGGACACTTACTTGTTTTCAAAAACAATTGTGAGTGAGTCTTCGTGGACATCTTTGATGAAGCCCTAAAAGAAAAAACAGAGAGACAGGATTTTAATTGCATGAATGAGCAAGAGACAGTGAGGAGGGGTGGGGCTGTGAGCATTTCATTCTCATGTAAACAACATTAGCCATGCTAACCAACAACACTGAGACCATTGCTGAAAAAGAGCATCACGGGCTTTTTTGGGAAGCCAATACATAACTGACACAATTTCTCTGGCTGTGAGTTCTGTGCTGGATAAAGTGACGATGAACACTGACTCCTCCTGACAGCCCGAAAATATCTCTCACATACACACACAATTAAAATGCAAGGGCTTTCTCGTTGTGTGTAAGTTTGAATACTGCAGTTTTACAAGAGGCAGTTTTATGAGGGGACATGTATGAGGAAGGCTCAAACAGCCGAGCCTATATGGACATATTATCTGATAGACAACTACTACGAGAGAGAGATCCCTTAAATGTGTTACTTGAGTCACAAATCTGTCTCGGGATGCCATAAAGTTTGACCAAAAAAACCACACCAGCAAGCAAGGATCAGACAGGGGAAAGTGGTGGGTGTGGCGTGTCCCTTGGTGTGACACTACCGTATATGGGACAGAGAGGTCAGGCAGTATTTTGCAAGCATTTGTGGGTTTGGGGAGGGGGGAGGGTCGATTCACCTGCTAGAAAGAAGCTGCTTATGTACTGCAAGAGCTGGCTAGGGTTTCAGGGTGCAATGTGTGTTGACATGTTAGGATTTTTACACCCTTTTACATCACTTAAACAGTCCAATCGGAATACAACTCAGATCATCAAACACCTCCTTTTTGTGTTATGAGATGGTCCAAGTTAATGGTCAAAGTATGCCTCGCATGAATGATTAGCATCCGTCTCTCATTGTAGGGATCCCAGTGGCATTAGGATGCTATCATCTGGAGAAAAAGCCAGCAGTGACAACAGGTCTGACTGAAAAAGTGCGCATCCTCCATTTTCCAGAGGGCACATTAGGAGACCGCTGCATGTGCATGTTATGTCAGGTGGAGTATTGCTTCCATCAAGTAGTACCAGGTCAAAGGGCAGGCAAGCCCTGTTTCTAACGTGACATGACTGGGGGGGGGGGGGTCACTGGCTGTTCCACAGTGACGTCCACTCATCCTCAGGCCAACAGCCACATGCAGGTCAATGTGGTGAGGAAGATCTTTCAGACCACAGGGGGCTGGTTTGCCAACTTCCTCTCAAAAAAAAGACGTGAGGCATATTTTCCACAAAAAAAGGCAGGTACGCATTTGGCTTAATGGGAACAAATATTAATAAATGTGCAAAGTTCCTTATTAAAGCCAAATATCCAGTCAAAATATAAGAAATTAATGTGGAAAATCACTCACAATTAACATTAATAAAACTGTTTAGATCCTTGTTTAGGCATTTTATCAATTGGGATGGTATGGGCCTGCTGTTACAAAGATGCAGACTGTACACAGGAGAAATTGCCATTACTTGACAGGTGCTGTTTGTCCCCAACAGGTTGTGATTCTGAATCATAAACTAACTGACTCACACCGACAGCAAAGTGAAGGAAGTGCATTGAAAAAGCACAATCAATTTATACCCTGTGTGAATCAAAACAAAAAACAAAGCAATACAAGGCTTTTGTCCCGTCTCTCCTAACCAGGAAAACACATCAACTGGAGTATGACATTTAGAATGTCACTACAGGTAAGTGTCCATGTCACCCACTAAATCAGAGCTGTGAGATAATGGATGTAATGGAGGAGTGGAAATGTTCATTTATGCCCTAGCCAAACTGTCACCCTGTAAAACAGAACGACAGGTGAAGCCACACCATGAGAGTAAATATAGGCTCATCCCTAAAGCACCATGTGGTCACTTGACAATCTGAACAACTGGAGGAGAAGAGCACATGGAGAAATAAACGTGTTTCAAATTAAAAATAGGAATGTCACAAAATATTAAGACAAGAAAACAGGTTGTTGATAAGGATGATCTTAAACTTCATCAGGTTTTTAACAAAAAAGCCCAAGTTACTCTATATGATAACTGCTCACCAAGATCCAAATGCATAGGACTCATACACACATTGATATTGCAGCTGTCTTTTTATAAACAATAATGTAAAATTCAATTGGAAGCCACTTAATTGACATCTTATTTTGATGTCTGAAAGCCTGTGTCTAAATATGAAACTACACTTGCCTTCTTCTTTTGAAAAAGAGGCATAATTGAAACAGAAACTCAGACTCTAGTTCTTCCCTGTCAGGGCAATACACACACGACCTAAGGTACAGTTGTGCAGCTGGAGGTGGGTAAAGGTACAAAACAAATATAAAGTATTAATGTAGTACTCATCATACTGAATCAGAGCAGGAACTGAACAACAGCTGTGTGATCAGCAGCTCGCTTCGGTTTTAAATGACTGCATCCAACATTGGAAGACAAAGCAAAATGCTATGAGAAATGGGTTATGCCATTTTAAAACTATGAGAATGTGGTTCCAATGACATGCTCTGTATTCATATTGACATTTTTTTTAAAGGGACCAAATATAGGCCGTACATGGTGATGACAAGTGTGCCTAGCTTATGAGCTAGCTGGAGCTAGCTACCCACCCCACAATGGCCAACCCTAATGGAAGGGAAAAACCATCCCGGTTTGTCAGAACTGGTCCAAAGCTACAATTTGTCAAATAGTCCATGTCTATCTAGGGCGGGACGTAGAAAGAAGGAAGCTGAACAGTTCTTCCTGAAACTAAACTTTTATCTGGGACAACTGGAAACTACGACTTTAACCAGGTTACCTTGTAGAAGGCCCCATTCGAGCCGCGAACTTCCACGGCCAGCCCGTCCATACTCGTCGGTACGTCTCCACAGTTGAGCTTTTCTGTTGGCGCTACGACTCCCGGCGAGTCGGGTATCGTAAGGACCCCCAGCTTCGCCGGCCCGTCGGCGCTCTCCGGCCGCTTGTGGATTTCCAGTGTTTCGGGTGGCAGGAGAGGGGCAGAGGTGAAGGGGTTGGGAGATGGGTGTGATGGTGGCAACTATTGCAACGCAGACGCTGTCTCCAGCACCAGCAGCTCGTGAAGAAGCTCCGTTGTCTATTTCCGTCTGAACGTGGGATTTGGTGCTCGCGAGCTGAAAGGCACCGCCACGAGCAATGGTGAAGTCTCGACGTGCGCGAAGAACAGAAGAAAGCTAATGATGCTACGGCAGGAGGATGCTAGCTGATGGATAATTAGCTGGGAGGCTAGCTATCAACACCTTGATCCCGTCAGTTTTCAGGGATGCTAGCTGCCTAGCATGTGATAGCCTGTCTGCGTTTGTTCGTTGTGCGTGTGGCGCAGTTCTTGCGTTGAATAATTTCGTCACCGGGGGTCGTTTCCTCAGTCTGTGGTGCAATTTCAGCGGCGTTTCTCTCCAAAAAGCGTTTGAGCTGCACTGCCGCCCGGCGACTCCTTACTCCAACTACCCGTCCCCACAAATACACGCCGATAGAGGGAATCAGAGTGGGACTGAATGACCTCGAACACCCCACCCCTCCATGACAAAAACCCGCCCATTGGGAAACCCAGGATTATGATTGGTCAATGACCTAGGCAATCAACACCAGCTGTCACTTATTGGTTTAGCAAATAAGGGTTGGTCCATAAATTTGACCAATACAACCTAGGGAGTTTTATCCTCACACAATCCATTGGTTTTTCTATGTGTCAATTACAAATGTATTCAAATGGACTGGCTCCATAGCTAATTTTGCCCACTCATTGATGAGTAAGGAAGGACCACCAGCCCCTGTGTAAACAGCAATACAGTACTATACATATAATGTATCACGCAAAAGTTCCAGTACATGCTCAAAACACCAAGATTTACACTGGAAGAGGGGAAAACTGAATAATTAAACCACAAAAGCCACAACAATGTTATTTGTCACAACATATTGCAAAATAATAATGAAGAAAGAATTTCAAAACTGTCTACGAAAAGTTAGGTTATAGAATGGTTGCAAAACACCGGGTGTGAAGCCCAAAGAAGACCAGACATGCAGGGACAGTTGGGAAGAAACAGCTGTGAGAAGCACACATGAGAGGCCAGAGGTCACAGGGAAAGCCCCACAGGAATAATCACAGTTGTTGAAAACCAAGATTCAATATGGATAGGACAGATTGTGCCGGCTTCCTTAATATTCTATCCATCACAGAGAGTCCTTGCACAGCTGTTAAAATGGTGCATAACAAATAATTCTGAATAAAAAGGCTCAGAATACATTATTTGGATAAAGCAGCCAGGGACCCAACAAATAAAAGTATCATGTAATCCCCTCTAATCAGCTTTCAATTACTGACTGACAATAGTCATAATAATAGCCTAATTACTTAATTAAGTAAGTAAGAGACATCCCCCCAACTCACTATAACCCCCTGTTAGTCAAGCTCTTATCATGATTTGCCATTTGACTTTGAATTTATTTTTTCCCCACTGAAACAAGTACAGAAAAAGCTAACAACCACTACAGGACTGAAGGGTGGGATTAGGGAGCATATTTCCTAGTAGGGCTCCTTTATCACAAAGTCCAGCCTGGTTATTGATGTTCCTAATTTATCATAGCTTTTATCTATACCCTCCTAGTGAACTGCTGTGAAAGGTATTATGTTGTGATCTTTATATAAACAGTCTATGGTTGTGATCCTTTACACATCACTACTTATAAGAGACCTAACACATAATGACATGGAATTATAGTCTGAAGATGCAATCTGATGATGATGAACTTTTAATTTTGTACCATGTTATGCCCTTTTTTGGTAAATGTATTCACTATGATTTTCTTTTCTGTTAGAAAACATTGAAATAACATGTTCCCTTTCGCAGTGCACGCTCCCGCGAGTGGCAAGCACGTTCTCGCTCTGATTGACCACATGGCTCACATGTTAGCCAATAGGAACGCTTCCTTCGTGCGCGCGGAACTTGATTCAGGAAGTACGCATTTCATTTTCTTGTTCCTCACAAATGAGCGAAAACAAGTCTTTAGAACCCTAAAACCTGATAAATTACTTGTTTAAAAAGGAAAATAATTCGGCCGAAAATGTCGGCTGCTGAGTCTACATATGTATCAACGCTTGGAAAAGGCGACAGTCTGCACCAACAGGGTAAGAAAACATGTCTAAGTTACTTACTTGCGTTGAGGTTAGCTGCTGTTTAACTTACTCTGACAAATCAATGCTTAAAAGCTCATTTAAAATTGAAGAGGAGTTAAAGTAAAACGTTAAGATGTCTTAATCGTATCCTAAAACCAGTGTAATAAAATGTGTATTAGTTAAATGGAGAGGTCGAAGAAGCAAGAATACAGTGAGGGTAACAATGCTCAGTTACAAGTAAAGTTGTGCATTTCAAATTCTACTTAAGTAATAGTACAAAAGTATAAGAATCAAAATATACTTAAAGTAATCATTATGCAGAATGGCCCATTTAAGCACCATATATTTGATATTATTGTAATATAATTATGAATGTGTTAATCACTTCAATGTTGCAGTTGGTACAAGTTGGGTTTGTTTGAGTTAGTTACTACCGGGCAGATTCATTTATTATAATATATCATAATGTATGAGTTGATTTACATTTTGTATTGATAATCTGAAATCTGAAAAGAAACTAAAAGTATAAAGTGGCATTATGTGCAAACACTCAAGTAAAGTACAAGTATGTACATTTTTCACTCAAGAAAATGTACTTTGTTACTTTCTACTACTGGTTAAATGTGAGAGTAGTAGCATAGGCTGAATTTGACTGTGCTATTGAGAATCTCCTGTGATTTTGTCCGGCCATTGATACTAAGGTTACTGTATTTACTGTTCTCCCATCCAGTTCTCGCCTCCTTCCCTCTGTGTGACATAACAGAAGAAGATCTGACCCAGAACCCTCAGTTCTGTAAACTCCTGGCCACCGTGGCACAGCATGTGGACCAAAGTGGACTCACTGTCCCACTGAAGACAGAGCTGGAGAAGGTATCAGCAAGCTTGGACTACATCTTACAATGTTTCTTACCACATTTGCTGACATACATCTCATTATTGCAATCAGCATCATAATTCCTTTATTAGTCCCGCAGTGGGGAAATGGACACTAACTTATTAAATATAGAGAATAAGCACACATTAGGAAAATAATAAAAGTAAAGAGAAATAAGTACACACACAACCATGGCTAAATCATGGCTAAAAATGGGTGACATAAGTAACATATTAAGGTGTTGAGACATTATAAACATTTTGGGACATTAATTAAAATGTATGTTTTACATAAAAGTGATTTTTGAATGGTACAATTGCAAAAAAGTGTAGTGCACATTGCAGGTTTATTGCACAAGATTGCATCAAACTGTATTGTTATATGATGCTACTCAATCTACTACTAAAATAGCTACATCTATCCTGGAATTGCCACTTTACAGATAAGTTATTCACATTTTATTACAAAGTAAGAAATCTACGTCTTACTGACATCTACTGGTAACTGTAAAGAATAGCAATCACAGAACCCGTAGCCCTGCACATGTGTGTGTATTGATGTGCGCTCACACATGCTTTATTCCAGGCTGAGCAGAAGCTGCAGAGCCAGAGGCGTTACTGGCTGCGCTCCGAGGGGATCCACAAAGCGCTGCAAGAGCTGACCCAGGACCACTGTATCAGGAAGCACCACGCCACTGTACCACCTGACCAGAACATGGTACCTTTCACACACTTCAACAAACACAACAAATGCACATGAACAGCTGTCAATGAATCATGAATGAACTCACTTTGCACATGGCATCTTAGTTTTTTAGTTAAAGGTTTAACATTTGAACTTCAGTGTCAGGATATCTACCATGTCTGTTTGTTTCTGTTATGGGTGTGTTTGTGTTTGTGTGCGTGTAGTTCTATGAGACGATGGAGAAGTGTCTGCTGGTGGCTCAGTGTATCAGACAGCTGGATCCCAGTAGCACTACCAACCGGGACCAGCCCTCTGTTCTGGGTCTGACCCCCCAACAGATGATGGAGCTCATGCCATCGGAGATGGTAAGTCATAAAATACACATAATTCACATACATACATACTTAAAGAAGAATGAATAACTTGGGTTAGCATTCACACTGTACATTTTATATTTATATGTAATTGAATATTCCCTTCCTTGCACACTTGATGTTAATAATATCCTGCTTATATTGTGTATATTGTGTTAACAGAAAATTGGCCTGTCGATAGTGTTTTTATTTGTCATAATTTTTATAATTTTTTTATCTTCACAGTCATCTATATCTTTTTCTTACTGCTGGTTTATTTTCTATTTCTATTTTGAGATGTTTCTATTTTAGAATTGTTTATTTCTCCTCTTTTAATTTGTTATTATGTGCAATGCCTTGTTTTGTTTTATGCTGCTGCAACAAAAAGATTCCCAAATTGGGATTAATAAAGTACATTTTATCTTTGTATGTGTTTTGTGTTTGAAATAATGGATGACACAGTGGTATTAAAGAAGACTTTATTTCAGAAAAGCAACAAAGAGACTTACTTCAGTTAAGAGTTTAGCTTATTCTCAAACTATTATGTTTTTATCTTTACTAGAATGTTCAAAGAATGAAACAGAGTCTACCCAGAGAGCTGGAGAAACATCTGAAGACAAAGTGTTTGAGCCTCCTCTCTTACTATCAACCTGAATGGGGTACAGTATTACCGATTCATCTGTTCCCACCAGTAAAAATCCTCACTAAATGTCACCGTCTCTGTTTCACTGCATTGACCTGACCCGGGTGTTGTTTTGTGATCTCTTCTAGAGAACGAGAGTGAGAGTGAGGGTCTGAAGAACAGCAAGTTGTCTCATCTATCAGCCCAGATAGACAATGAGAAGAAAAGAGCAGAGAGTCTGAAGGAGAGCAGCCGGGAAAACAGTGTCCTCCTGCAGAGACTGACCCAGCTCTACCTCTCTGTAAGTGCTCTTTCAACTGCATATAGAAAAGCCATTATATTTCCTGTATTTATGGCACATTATAGGCCCAATTCCAAACTGCCCCCTATCTACTCCTACTCCGTCTGTAGTCACACTCACAGCTAAACAAGGTTCCGCTTATTTCGGGTGGAGGGTGTAAATACAGTGGCTTTATAACAAACTCCCCTCTCTCCGACAGAAACAGGAAATTCCATAACTGTTAATAACAACGGTTTCAAATCAGCGTCTCTTGGACACAAAATAATACAAATAAAACTCCAAAAATCTTTAATGGCTTTTCCTTTTTGTAAACCTCTTTTTGTTTGGAAATCTGATGTTTATAAGCTGCTTGTTTTTGCAACAGTCCCTGTAAATATACAAAACTTTACAATCAAATGCAGACGTTTACTTAACACGGGTATATGATCCTAAGTAAAAAAGTAAAAATACGGTTTGGTATTGGGCCATACTGTTACATTTGATTTATTTAGTTTCATTGTTTTTTTCTTCTTGTGTCCAGGAACAGATCAAGTGTATTCAGCTTCTCCAGTCCCTCATCTTGGACCACAGGCTGAGGATCCAGACAGATCTGGATCGGAAGAAGTTAGACTACTTTGAAGGAAAATGTGAATTAGTCTTGCAGAAGATCAAGTAAGCATTCTTATATACATTTTAATACAAAATATTCACTGGTGCTCTTATCTAGAAAGACTTACTATAAAAATAAACTCCAATTGTATTACTTGCATTTCATTTTTGACACATGTATTTCTCTTTTTTCTTCAAAGGACTGAGATGGTGGAGATTCAGCTGGACACGTACAAAGTGGACACAATATCTGCTCATACAAAAATGAGGCAAGATGCTTTATCATCTATCGCTGACTAATGTCCTATGTTTTGATCAACTTGCACCTTCTGTTTGGCACTACATGTTAATGAATGTAATGCATACTCTTTCTTACGAGCGTTTGTCATTGAAATGTCTTTAAATGTATCGTAGCTTCCTGATATCAACCCTGTATAACATTTTTACAGTAACTCCACTCGATCTCGCTTGTATTTCTCTAACAAAATGTTGTTGTTGCGTCTAAATTTCAGAGAGAAGCTGTCGTCTGATCTGAAGGCCAGTCAGGTGGAGAAGCACTCCGTTGAGTTGAAACTGGCCTCCTTTAAGATGTTGGGGAAAGACTTTGAGGCCTTGGCCGAGGAGTACTGCAGACTACGGCAGGAGATAGAAATTAATACCTGGGCTCTGAAGGAGTTCACCGAGTGCAAGGACAAGTGAAGGTCATATCTGACAATGGGACAACAGCCAGCCATCCCCTGCTCATAGTGTGTCAGTGCTCACAACGGCATGCTGGCTTTTGGATGCTTGTCACAGACAGTGTGTGGATATTTGGCTCCCATATTACTTCTAACTAAGAATTCTGTTTAATAACTGCCATAAACTCTTAAAATAGTCAACCACATTCAGTACACCACCATGATAATCAACATTTATATGTTTTATGTTTCTACCTGAACCCATTTTTAGTTCACGTTTGCATTTCTCTTTGTAATTAAATGCAGTGTTACACTTAGCTTTACTTTCCGTCTCTGAATGATAACTTTCTTATTTACATATACATACATATATGAGGTTAAGAAAGTGAGAGTTAGTAGTATATTAATATTTACAATGCAAAAATCATTTGTCTTCCTACTAGGCATAGACAGTGGTCTTGGTGGCCTGATCTTACTTCACCTAAAATACAAATGATGAGGTAGAATTTTCTTGTAACACTTTATCTCAAGCATCAACACAGTAAAATGTGGGGATATGGGCAAGAATTGTTGTGTATATTTAAGCAATAGCTCACGACAGGCCGTGGTATACGCTCAGTATATCACGGCTAAGAACCAATCAGATTGCTTGATGTTACTTGTCCGTTTTATAATGTAATATAAACCTCTAAGAAAATTAACTAGATTGAGTAAGTGTGAACATGCCGTTAATATTTGTTTCCTCTGAAAAAAATAGATGACTGCCAGACAAATAATCCTTATAAAAGATCAACTATCAGTTGTAGCTCCTAATTTTCTGTCTTCTCCTGTGGGAGTATTGATTTTTTCATCAAAAACACTTGTGAAGAATTGAGGAAATAATTTGTTGGTAAACACTTGCATGACAATTTATGATGATCAGATTAATGACATTTTGCTGCCGTTTGCAGGTGTATCCACAAGATGGCAGTATACTTTCAATTTTCAACAGATGTCATGTCATATTTTCTACCAGACAGTTATATTTTTGCAGACATGCTTGTTTTGTTTCTTTATTATCCTACTATATGCAATCATTTCACAAAAAGCTTTTTCTTTTCAACTTGTCACCCCTCTGTATAATATCACAAAAAGTAATGTTGTTGTTCAAAGCGCAAAACAACCCATATGATTTAATGTGATTAATGTAATAATCAGTCTATTTTATATACTGTATGCATTTTATATGTGTATACATAATTTTCCACGTCTCTAAGATGCTGGGAAATGTTTAGGAACCTTTATATACACATTATATGGTAGGAACCAGTTAAGAAGTGCCTCTAATTACTTATTTATTTAAGTATTTTTGTCATAGTCATTTATTTAACTTTATCAGAGCAAGTAGCAATCCCTTTTAAACATGTCTTATTAATGCAGCATTTAGGGAATTGTGTTTATTGTTTTGATGTTGATAAAGACTGTATTTGTTATTTGACGCTGGCTGGTTGTCTTCTTATCATTGACGATCTTTGGCTATGTTTGCTTTCCACTGAGGAGAAACGGAAGTAGGTAATGGTGAAGCATCTCGCCTCGTTAAACCTCATATCTCTGCTCTCTCATCAGCAGCAGCAGCCCCGCCTCGCGACGCCAACCGCTGGCTGGTTCGCCTCCAACTCAACCTCCCACATCTGGCTGTCACAACGTGCCGCTCCTCCGGTACCGCGGCATGCTCACATACACAGCGAGTGGAATTTAACAAGAGGGGCACAATGTCTGAGGTGCGAAAATTCACAAAGAGGTTAAGCAAACCCGGGACGGCTGCGGAAGTCCGACAGAGCGTGTCGGAGGCTGTGAAGAGCTCCGTGGACCTGGTGGTGAGTTAATGCTGTGTGTGGAGCGGCGGCGGTCATTTTAAGCTAATAGGGATAGTAACTGGTTAGCTCTCTTACCCCCCCCCCTCCCTCGGTTTCCTTGGTGAATAACGGGTCAGCTTTTCCCTAGTTCTTTACATTCCTTCTGTACATTTTCCACATCTTTTTCAGTCTCTTTTATTTGTGTATTTCCAGTTTCATTCAGTGCGCGTGCCCCACCAGTCTTTACGTTAAACCTAAAGCTAATGTAAGCCCCGTGTCAGAATGCACTGGAACAATTTCCCTCGCATTCTGTGTAAAAGACAGGAGCTATTGTATTCCGCGAATACAACTCATATATGTTGGCTTGGTTTTTCTAAATTGCCGGCATTACAAAATAGTCTGACATTGTCCACATGGTTTTTCAGTCATGTTCTGCTCCTTTTGTGTGCTGGCGGCTGAGGAGCAGTGCCAGTTGGACAGCTGCAGCATGGCTTCCCTGTCCTTGACTTGGAGTGTGTGAGCCTCTTTATTTCGGCAGGAACTGGCCACATTGAGTCAAAGAAAGCAGTCCATGCATTCCTTCAGGGTTGATGTAAATTGCTAATGACGTGTGTGCAAACGCATAGGGTTTTTATTTTCTTCTCCTTTGGAATCAATAGCAGTGCTGGTGGCTGATATTGGCCTTGAACAGACTGAATGATGAGGGATTATAGGCGCAGTGGTTTGAGTTGAATAGCATTGAGGATCCTGCTTATGCAGCATTTTTATGTTTGAATGGGCTCCCATGTGGGTTGACTTCTTTTCATATAAGCATGTCTAAGGCGTTACATTGATTTGTCTTGAAACTTCCAGTGATGTCAATGCAGATTAAGCCTGTTGATAACTTTTCTATTTGTTATAGCCAAATATCTGGCAAACTGATATGAAAAACTTCCATTTTAAACACAAAACTCTTAAATATGTGGCTGTTTTAGAAAGTTGAGTAGCTTACACTTGTGTAAATAAACTCTTGTTCCCTTGGGATAAAGTCTTATGATGGTCATCTAGGAGTGTGACGCACAAGTGTAATAACCTTGTGATAAGGTTTTGATTTCCGGAACAGAGGTGGGAGTGTGTGCATGTCTGTGTGTGAGTTTGTGGCCACGTGTGATGTGTCTTCTGATAAGTTTTTCCTGTTGAAGAGTATCTGCTCATTTTGTGGAATAAATGGTTGGCTTGGTAACTTGAGAACAAGCGTAGTTTTGTGGAGGGAGATTCCCTCAGGCCAGCTGTGACCGTGCTTCCTGTGTGACTGTTCATTATGAACATCTCTATAAAGTCTGTCCTGTTTTCCAAGTCATTCCTTACATGCCTGTATTCTTGGATTTTCTAGTGAAGAAATACAACTTCATTAAAGGAAATAGGAAAGTGCTGAATACAACAACAACCCTTGGGCCAATCGGCATTACGTTGCTACATCATGTAATTGCTTCTTCGTTAGTGGTCCACAGAAAGTCATGTTGACATGTTTTTATCAATTCTAGGTCTTTGTTTAGTTGTTTTTCACACAAAACTGTTTGGGAAGCAGTGGACAGTATTGTTGTTAATTGGAATTTGGTAGTAACCAGTCCTTAATGGATTACTACATTCTGAAAGGTTTAACCGCTTATGTTTAGATTATAATAAATACGTTATTTGTACAGTAGTTCCCAATCTTGGAGGGCAAGCACCTATAACAGGGCGGAAACCCATTGCATATGACTAAAAGTAAGAATTCGTTGTGATCATTTTCACGCAGGTGTAACTAATAGAAGTCTTAATTGCTACATTTCATGTCAGTGATAAATAGTCATCTTTAAGGTAATTGATTTCACATGTGTAATTCTTCCTCCCTGACAAGTGAACATATTTGTAATCCTTCAAATTCCAATGGGAAAGTTATTTAAAAATGTTTGGGAACAATTCTTGAGGAATGCACTGTTGCCATCTTGGTTAATATGACACAAAAACGTAATAGTCACTATAATCCTTATTCATCCTTACTCTGCTATGCAAGCCTAAGTACCAGTCATTTTGCAGCGAAACATGTCTATATTAGGTAAATCACATTAGTTTTTAGATTAAATGAATGATAACATGAAACAAGGCTCCTTTAGGCTGAACAATCCAATATATCTTATTGAAACAAAACTCATACAAATATCAATATCTTTTGGAATCAACGTGTAAGTATAGACAAGTAAAATAAGGCAAGCTATCCATTTTCTTCCCCTCCATGAGCCGCTGTGTGTCATATACACACAGGTTGGAGCACCAAGTGGGGTCAGCTGTGGGACAAGGGAGCTTGATTCAGTGTGTGACTCCCATGAGAGTGTGTAATCTATTGTTTTTAAGTGTAAGCTTCTTTAGCCAGCCTGATTAAATCCACCTGGTCATGTTGGAGTTGGGATCGTGTAATGGGACACAGACATCTGGAAATGCACCCTTTGCTAACATCATCATCACAGTCCCCTGGAGAACACTTGGAGTCAAGCTGTTGGTGTTTGAGAGAAGAGGAGAAAGTGTTTTGCATCATACAGTTACGCCACGTCTTTTAGCATCTCCCTGTGTGTCTCAATCGATGAATGTGGCTTCACAGCTGCCGGCTTCTGAGGCTTGTGATTCTTCAACTTCTATGAACTCTCTCTCAGCCCTTCCTTCTCTCTTTCTTGCTTCCTCCCCTCCCTCTCTTTCTCTTTCTTTCTCTGTAACATGATCAGCGTTGCAGTGGAGCCGCTGTGCGCTGGCGATTTCCCTGTGACTTACACAGCGCTGCGGTTTAGCTTGTTGCACATGACAGGAAGCAGGGCTGCTGCATCGGGTGCAGGGCCGGCACAGTCGCGTGTAATGCTTTCAACAGACGTGTAGTTTGGTGTTTTACTGCTGCTCAGGTGGCTGTTTGTCCCCTGAAGAGCCAGACTTCATGTACAAACATACTCTGAGATATCTGCAATCACTACGTTTCACACTTCATTTCAAGTATCTTTGTGAAGTTCTTCTTAAGATGAGTGGCTCAAAATGCTAAATGCTGGTTTCATGTGGACAACCGAGAAAGTCGGGGGTCTGGTGGAAAAATGTGTACATATCACGTACTTGAAACCATCAGAGGCCAAATTATTGGTTAGAGAACACTTAAAAGCGAGCACTTTCTTTCCTTCATTGGCTTGTGCACAGATACCAGCATATTCAAGGCATTTCAAACTCTTTAACCCTCACTAAACTCATACTGTATAGCCAAACAGTGTTCAAAACCACAGAAATGTATTTTCAAATTCTAGTGGAGATCCAACAATTCAAAAAGATCCCAAACAAGTGAGCGTTTATTCTCAGGAAATGCAGGCTGGAATATTTACTCAGTGTAAACATCATATAGCTACTGTATATTGAGGAGCTGTTACACAATACTGTCGATGCAAGTTATACTTTGAGGACGTGTGGAAGTAATTTGATTCCCATTTTCTTAGCTGCTTAAACCTCAAAAACCAGACAAACTCAGAAAAAAAGTTGTGTTAATATACGTCCATGTAGCCTATAGTGAGAGGGTGATTAAGATAGAATATGTTGTCAGAGATAACATGGATTACAACATGGTTCACTTGGCACATAAAGCTGCATATTGGAAAAGGATGTAAGAGCTTGATATCTGCACATACAAAGTGCAACAGTGGTAGTGTTAGAGGAATAGCAGTAGAACAAGGAGAAGGAGGGAAGAACAGCAAGCAGAGGGGAAAAAAGCAGCAGCCAAGCTAACTTAATTTGGGCTTTTTTTACTCTGCCCGCCTCAGCAGTGGTGCAGTAGGAAAACACAGCTCTGCATCTCAGCTGCACGACTCTTAAATGGAAATATGACAAGGTGGAAAATGACTCAATCACGCTCCCCCAGCTGTAGCGCATTGTCACAGTTCTTCTCTCCACTTTGGCTCAGCAATACGGCGCAGAAGACGCTGATCAAACCCATACAGTCTGACCATTTCCTCTGCAGAGTCCAACGCTCAGCCAGGGCTTATTGGCTAAACTATTCATCACCATTTTCATTGCTTAGCTTGAGCTTAAAGTTGCACTTTCTTGGGAATTAATTCTGAATCTTACCAAGTGGTTTTAGGTTTATACTTGTGATCACATCTTGACCTAGTTGTGCACGGCTAGGTTTTAGCCTGTATGCCACTTGAAGACATTCATGCATTTCATATCTTTCACTTCTCTATGAAACTCAAAACAGGAAGTTATGATGTTCAGCTAGATCATCCATATGGCATGTGATTTATTTCTTGTTTTTTGTTTTATTATTATGCTTCTGTCAAGAACACGCGCTTTATTTGACATCACATAACTGTCAAGTCAGATGGATTCCATTCCTATTTTGTCTTACCTTGAATGCCCCTTTTGTCAGTTGCTTCGCTTTCGTCATTTTCACCTTTTTTGTTGTCCACCCACAGCTGTCTGAGCCACTGTTTCCCTGCACTGTGAACCTCTGAACTCTGTGGTTGTTTCTCTGATCTCTTGTTGCTCTGCTTTTGTACGGGTTGTTAAGAGCTTCTGGGGTTGAGCCCTTGTTAACTGCATTCAAATAAGCAAGGCCATGTGGAGCTTACCAGAGCCACAGTACACACAGAACCATCACAACATCAA